CATAAACACTGTAAATGTTTAAGATAAAATTAAGATGCTTTACTGATTGTAAAAACTTACACTTTATTGAAATATTTGAGATACTTGTATCAGCTAGATTTGAGTGCCGAGTCTGATCATCACTTTATTAAAATATTTTAGTTATAAAATTATATCAGCTAGCTGGGTTTGATCAACCTAGCTAGGTTTAAGTTTACAAAGTGAATATACACTTTATTAAATATTTTAGGATATAAAATTATTATATCCAGGTTTAAAATCCGAGTCTGATGGTTCACGGTAAACTGCACTATTGTCACAAATATAAAATGTAGAAAATATAGATTAATAATATTAAACTCCGCCTGAAAAGGGCGGATTATATCTGTACATTATTACCGCTACCTCTATATTTTTAGAATTTAGTGTGGATGGGTAATAACTAACGGTTTCCTTTCAAACATGAGAATGGTCAATTTACCTAGCCTATTGTAAAAATAGGGTAGAGCGGGGCTTCAAGGTGCGCGAGTAAAAAGGTCCACTACCGATATCTCAAAAACCAGTAAAGTTAAATTTTTTTAACAATACTATTTTAAAGTAGAAAAAAAAGATATGTATAACCAGCCATCACCTTAATTCTGACTATGGAAGATAAATGGGGATATCGCTATCGGGATATAAATATGGCATTGTTTGAAAATCCATAACAAAAGTACATATTTTCTTTCGTTGCTAGTTTTTTTCGTTGTGAGCACTATTGTTCAGTTTACGGAACCTTAATATAATTTTTAATTATTTTAGTTATTTATATCTTTTATAGGATGTATTGTTAAGGCGTCGAATACGCCTTAGTACTGCCTGTGCCATTATCACTTTGTAGAAAATTAATTACTACACTTTTATGTGCACTGTAATTATTAGAAGAATCAATGAATGACAATAGACATAAAACTATAAATATTTATTTAATGGTTGAGTAACTTGTGCGAACTAAATTTATTAAGGTGTTATTAGTCTCGCAACTTACTAAATACTAAACATTAAAAACTTGAAAATATAATATAAAAATTATTATAACGCTGTCTGGAAGGGGTAGTAGCTTACAAAAAACGTACAGACTAATACAACTACAAAATTAGGAAAGTTTCTAAAATCCGTTTAATATAGGGTAGCAATAGACCTTGTCCATTTCTTTGGAAGGGTAAATGGATTTATAACCAAGATAAAATTTTATGCAATAGTCAGTATCCTTTTGTACTGAAAGGAATTTATAATAAAATATTTAAAAAGAATCCTTAACATGTATCGTTAATTTTAAATTAGATGCATCCGTTTTTTTTATAATCTTTATAACCGCTTGCACGTGAGTGGGGTAAGAAGAACCGATTCAACCTTTACCCTGACAAAGGTGTAAAAAATAAAAAAGTAAATGAAGTTAAATAAAACAATTTTACAAGAGATAAACTAAATAAATAGTTATTCAAAGTCTGCCGATGAATATTTTTCATATTGACGAAATACCTGATCAAGGTTATTTACAGTGTTATCTCTAGAAAAAATGCACATGAAATTTATAATTTGCATTGTTTGAATAATATAGCTATTATTTTGCAAAATCCTTTTAAAATAAAAATAAAACTTTGGACCTGTTTACCCCCTGGCCGTCCCAATTTACCGCGCCTATGGGGTAAAAAGGTCCAAGTTATAAACTTTAGAAAAACAGCACAAAACACATTTCTACAATGATGTCTGAGTCAGGTAGATGTTTGATATGTGTGTGATAAAATTGGTTTGGTTTTCAGAATGTAGTTGCTCAAAATCAAATTGAACCTTTGTGCCCCGCCTTACCCTATATAATACGTAGTAGAATGATCATAAAATAATTCTAAATACTCCTTGATAATATATTTTGCTCATTGTCAGCTAAATACTTCTAAAGTATCAACTGAAATTTCTGTCCTTATATATTTATGTTATCGGTTTGACGAACGCGGATGTATGTCTAATTTATGTTACGTGCAAAAACCCAAAACATTTTAAATACTGATTATTTAAATTTTGTGACATTGAAAATAAATTGCAATTGTGCCATTATTTACAAGGAGAGTAAAATATCTAATCAGTTTTTTTTAATTCTGAATCGATTGAGTATCAAACCACACAAAATAATTTGTCACATACGTTATCATTAAATAAATATAATGATGGAAAATTTGCATATTAAGTTATCAAAATTAGATTATTAAATTTGTTTACAAACTTTAATTTTTATCTGACCTAAAAATTGTTTTTCAAATGCTTTTTCAATATCAAAAAAACATTTTTTAAATGTTTTGCGGTATTTTCATTCATTATTAAATTTTATATAAGAGATATAAATTATGAGCATACACAAAAGAAAAATGATGGACAATTTCATCTTTTTTGTATGTGATAATTTTCATTTTTAATTTTATAATAACATGTTTTTAAAGCTAATTCAAAAATATTTATTTCTGTGGTTTATTACCTTTTCCGGGATAAATTGCTGAATAATGACTCATATCAAATGTTGAAACGTATAAATAGAGAATTATCAATATTAATTTATTTTTTAATTCGATGAATTGGTATCTATATATAAACATATTTGTACGAACAAAGCAATTATAACGGCAAAGATGTGTCAAAGACTTTCTTGAAAATATTATTTATAAGTTGATATCGGTTATCTCGCAGAAAGAAAAATATTTTCGCAAAATTCAAACATTATCATTAAAATAATTTTAACTGATAAAAAAATAGTTAAGTTTATGTTTCTTATCTTTTGTTTCTGTTCAATCTTTTGTTGAAATGAAATTCTTAATTTTTTTACATGTTTTTGGAAATGTAGATTTAAAATGTATTATTATTATCTTATTTATATCAAAATGTGTAAATTTAGATGATGGTTGAAATTCAGCACACATCTCAGTGAAGCGATAATGCTTAATAAGATAAAATCATGTTCTGAAGATTTCCAAATTTGCTAAAAGTTCACTTTTTATATTTTCAAGTCAGACAGAGTCATAAAAGTAGATAACGGTCAGGAGTTTAAATTTGATTAGCATGTCAATAAAATTTACGCAAAAGATTTAGCAATTTTTTTAAAATATAACTGATTAATAATAATGGATAATAATAGTTGTTAGACTATATTCTGAAAACCAAACCAATTTTATCATAACAAATAACACATATAAAACAAACAACAATCTGACTATGTTCAGTAAACCATCAACTTCATTCAAATTGAAACATTGAAAAACACAATTGTGTTTTTGTTCTTTTTCAAAAGTTTGATCCTTTTTACCCCATAGGCGGGGTGAATTGTGACGGCCAGGGGATAAGTAAATAAATTCTTTTAACAACTATAGTAATAAAATAATGTATGAAACACTGCGATTCAAACTGACTACTATCAAGTTTATATACTATATCAAAATGCATATTTTTACTGGAAATACCATAGATAATAGTAATCACAAAGTTAGATATTCTTAATAAAAACAGTAATTAAAATTTGAATGGTTTAGATGTGGATTAACTATAAACAAATTACACAAAAATTTAGTAGTACATATTTAACTTCCCGAAGAAGATTGCTAATTTTATTTTTCAAAAAGTCATTTAGAATCGATTTAGACCAAACTTTTGGATGAATTTTTTTACAACTAGTGGTGTATGGCGTCGTGCTTTAAGGCAAATTGCAGGAACTTCCCGTACAAAAAATAAAAAAAATAATTAAAAAAGATTAAATTTTTTTTTAAAACTTTGAAACAATTAGATTTTGAAGAAATTTTAAATTTTTGAAAAGAATTGAATCTGTGATTTTTTTTGAATTATTAAAATCGGACGCTCCGTTCTCTTAAAAACTGAGTTACCGTTTTTGGCACTTTTTGTCCCGTATCTTCCAAACGGCTAGACCTGCCTTTGCCGAAAACTAATCAGCACGTCTCCTTATTAATACGAATCGAATGTTTTTTGAATAATTGAAATCGTGTTCTCGAAATCGTCGACGAAAATTTGTATCCGCACACACACACACACACACATTCACACACATATACACTCACACACACATACATCCATTTTTTCCAAGGTATGCCAAAATGTTCAGAAACCTTTGAAACGTAAAGTTATACAGAAATTTTCATGTCCGATTTTTTGCTATTACAATATCTTACCCTACGGGAAGTTAATAATGGAGAACATCATAGATAATAAGGAAAACATGGAAAACATGGTCTTAAAAAATATTTTAAAATATTATCTAAAAAGTCGTTTAATTTTAAAAATTCATCTAACAAATTGTAAGCCAAGAATAATAAGCAGCGCTTTTTTGTGTAGTAAAATTCGATTTTTTTTCTTATCAAAACCAGCTGAGACTAATATAAAAATTTAAAAGCCATTCAATAAAACTCGATAAGAACTCGCGTTGATTAGTTTTGCAATCGGTCAAGCCGTTTCTTCATAATTCGCAGAAAAGCGCAAATTTTTAATCACCTTTTTTACAAACAAATCCTGATCCGATTTAAAAAAATTAAAAACCGTTCGAAAAATATCAATTGAAATCGCTGATTACTTATTAGTGAAAGCGAAATTTACGAAATAAACTATTGAAAATGTTATCTAAATAGCTAATTTTAAATTCTTATTTATTAAGTCGATTATTTACAAGTTTCGGAGAGTTCATTCAACTTACCTTAAGGCAAAATAACATTTACGCATAGTTTACATATTTATTTAATAAGTATTTTAAGTTATTTCGTCATCTCTATACAGAAAAAAACTGTTTCATATTGCAACATTGTGCAATATGTTGCGCCAATGAAATCACGAAAGTAAAAGTAGAGAAACAAAACACAATCATTATAACAAAAACGGGTTCATGAACATTACGTGAAAAGTCTAGTAATACATTTTATCACAAATATTATCAAATTTCTATAAATACTTAAGTAAATAAATAAATACAAATAGTGATCATAATGTTTACTTACGATTTTTCTATTTTTTTCCTGTTTTCACATGTATTTATTTATAACTTTGTAATCATCTTTTACAGATTACAATAATATTATTGATACACTAACAACATTAAAATAGCACACACGAATTGATTTATTTTTATTATTTCTTAAATGCCATTGTTTTCTCGCCTGTCACTGTCATTCACTGCCGCGACATAGAATCAACAATACTGAACGGCAAGATCGGTAACTAACTAGTAGGTAAGAATCATAAGGAGCTGCGACGGGAACCATATATGAAATGCATTTTATTTCAAAAGCTCATATATTTTTTCAAAAACATTACGATAAGTGAATATGAAGATCTGGATATATCAGTAAATGAAAATTTATATTATTACATATTATAATTTCGAAATGATATCTATCTTTTTTGCTTTTTCTAATTATAACTTTTTTAAACTTTTTCCAATGGTCACCTAAGCACATTTTCCTGCTTTTTTACATTTTTTTTATAGAATTGTGTGTCCAATTCATTTTTCTGCTTTATGATCACGATTTTTAAACTTACATTTGCTATTAAAATATCTCATTTGATTTATGGTATTTAATAAATAATTACATCAATTAAGCAAACATATAGGTTTAGAAGGGAACGCATTTATATTATATGATATTTATATATCAAAGGATGTATATCAAAGGATGTAACAAATGTTTTTTTTTTTTTCAAAATAAAATATTTAATTTGAAATGCACTAAAAGATCACACACAAATTAATTACGTAATTAATGATTATATTTACTCCATTAGAATTAATAATAATTTTTGCACTATGTGCATGTAATTCAAGATAAAAGTTAAACCCAGCTAATGATTTTATAAAATTGTTGATGTATACGTATATATCAATAGAAGTAACTATTTTTCTCTGCCAAAGGTAAAAATTAAAAGCGCTAAATTATGAATACTATTATACAAAATGTATTTTTTATATTCTTTGCAAATACATAAAATTTTATGTGCTAGAAAATAATCACAATTTTTTTATGCAAATCTGGAATACAAAGTTAAAACAACTATTATATTGAAAAAAGATTTGATAGAATTGATTACCAATGCAACTTAGAACAAGCGAAGAAATAACAAAGAAATATTTGAATCAAATATAGATTAATAAAGCCAATTGTTTAATGTTATAATAAAGTGCTAAGTAGTGCAATGATGATGAAATGTGAATTCGAATTAATGATCATTATCCTTTCAAACTGCTCATTCCAGCCCTCATAATTTCATCAACCAAAAGAATGTTGCTAGCAATGACTGAGCAGGAGTTGATAATTTGTTTTTTGACAAGATAATTGTCATATATTCCTAAATCCACGGGTTTAACAGCATTTCCAGAAGCCAAATCTAAACCAATAGCATCTGAGCTAAGACGATCTTCCTCTTGAAGTTTTACAATCGATTCTTGTGCGTCATAACCAGAATTAACAGCCAGGACTTTTGGGATAATTAATAAAGCTTCAGCATAGGCTTGGATTCCTAGACGCATCTTTCCTTTGACATTATTCTTATGTTTCATCAATTCATTATGAGCACGGATTTCAAAAGCGCCTGCTCCAGGTATAACACACTTATCAATTACAGCATTATTAACAGCTCTAAGACCATCCCTTACAGCATCCTTAATTTGGGTCAAGGTGTATTTATTGGCACCCTTAATCAATACAGTTACTGATTGTGGGACTTTACAATCCTCAACAAAAGTAAATTTATTTTCGCCCAAAACATGCTCATATACAACACCAGCATAACCTAAATGAGATTCATCTAATCCATCAACCGAATTCATTGCAGTACCTCCGCAGGCTAAAGCTAAACGTTCCATATTACGCCTCTTGGCACGACGTAAAGCCATAATATTTTCTTTAGCAAGCATGTCTAGAGACATTGGGTCAATTCCCTTTTGATTTATTATGACAAAGTTCTTGTCAGTCCCATCACAAAGTTTTTTCTTGAGATCAATTATCTAAAATTATGAAAAGATCAGTTATATTAATATTTATAATTATATTAAGTATATATGCTAAATAAAATAAAATAGTATATTATTATCATGTCAGTAAAATGTGGAAATAGTACTTCATTGACCTAGAAAGAAGTTGTAATGAAATATTAGAAATCATACTTTGAATACATATTAAGATTAATCATAATCATACTTCTAGGTGATTGTAATTAAATATAATTCTTTGAATTATAATTTAATGATTAAATAAATGTTAAAAAATTTGACATAATGATATACTTAAATTCTTTTCAACTTTTTCAACTTTTCAAAAATTAACAAGAGTATCAAATACATACTGCTTGAACTCTTTGTTCAATAAACTCCCTTTCAGCAAGTACTAATTTCTCTCTATCAGCAGCTGACTTGTAGAAGAATCCAGAATTCACTTCTGACTTCTCATACTCCATTGAGATGTTGCAAGTTAAAATATAACAATTTTCAAGACGTTTAGGCATATCAGGGTGACGACTACCGTGATCCATGACCAGACCTGAAAAGCAAAAAATAAAATAAAATACATTTTATAACATCTAGAATTATCTATCAAAAATGAGTAATTAAAATGAATGCTCTACAAAAATCGTACCATACAAAAAGCAAGACTCACTGATTATCCTTCCAAAGCTATTTCCAATAATTGGACCACGAATTTAGTATAATACAGCAATATTACTATTATAAATATTATGATCATCCTACCTTTGATAAGTGTGCTGTCAGCTCCACTTTTATGTTGCATTTCCATTATTTCTACCATATGCAAATCAATAGGTTTATCTTCAACACGGATGGCTAATACTGCATCTACACAGACTTCGGTCAAGACATCAGCAATTTCAGGATGAACCTAATTATAAAATCCATAAATTTACTAAATTGTTCTAAAACTAAAAACATTAATATCAGTTTATAATGTACATGTAGTAAATAAGCTTTAATTAATAATATTTAAAGATTTATATTTAATTTATGTTTGTTAGCACTTTAACAATATTATTGTTGGTTATTTCTTTGAGCAAACTCATAAGTTGAGGAGAAAATTTTTGTTTGATATCAGGCCATATAATGTAAAAGTATAGACATAAGAAATTTAATGACATAATTCAATTAGTAAAGAAATGAATAACCTTCGTTCTCAAAGAAGTTCTAGCGATATCCATGAGTTTTTCTTTTGTAATCTCAATGGGGACCTTCATGGTATTCAGAACTTCTAAAACTTTCTCACGAGCTGCATCAAATCCTTCGGTGACAATGCGTGGGTGAAGCCCTTCTGATATATAAATATCAGCTTGTTTGAGGAGTTCACCTTTTAAAGAAATAAATGAATTAATACAGTAATAAAAAATAGTTTTATCAGCATATTTTAGTTTATGAATACCGATAAGCAAAACTGTGGAAGTTGTTCCATCTCCAGTCATGTCATCTTGAGCAGTGCTGGCACGAGCAATTAAAGATGCTGTAGGATGTTGAATTTGCATTTCATGCAGCAGTACATTTCCATCCTTAGTTATTTTTATATCACCAGCACCAGAAACTAACCTGAAATGATAATTAATAAATTACTTTCTTCTAAATAATATGTCACTTTTCTGCTATACTGGCTATAATTACTAGTTCGTATTTCTGCATAAATTCTGAATAACTAAATATATGTAAACTTATATATATAAAAGTATGTGTCGTTTTATTATCGAAAAAAGAAAAATCAATTACAGCAATATCAGATTTCTTGTACATTATATTTCTACATTTCTGATCTATTTTAGAACAATAAAATACTGATACTAGATCAATGACATGAATTTGATCTGGAAGATTCTTGTTAGGTTATGGTTGCACATGCAACATAAACATGTTGTTTCTTTAATAATAGAGCATTGTGGATTATGGAGTAGTATTATTTACTTTGGAATGAACAAAAATTATGCATATTTCATAGGCTCATGTGATACTATGTAGCATGTGAGCAAATTGTGCAAGCCGCACCTACCGTAACCAAAAATTCTCTTGAGCATTATGACAGGTAATCAAATTAAATATGATAAAAAGTTATGCCCAATTACATTTTCATTGTTCCTTTAGGACCTAGGTTGGTTTTCATAATGTCCTGAATTCCTTTGGCAGCAGAAATATTTACTGCCAACGCTTGAGCAGCCCTTGCAAATTCAGCTTTTGGATTTAACAGACTTATAGCAGCCATTTCGACCTATTATTTTAACACTTTTTGAATATTGAAACCTTTTACTAAATCAATTGCTATGAAGCTGAATTAAATTCACTAAATTTGAAACAAAAGCATCCAAAATTTGTATGATTAGCAAAGGTTACTTTGTTAATCTGAACACAAGAACACGACATAGGCAGTTAGACACGAAATTATCTAGGAACACGATGGCCAATCACGATGAACAGAAGAGATGCCTATGGATTATTGAGTTGGTACGCTTTCTGCACAATATATTATTTTATCGATTTATCGATCGATCGATCTATCGATATGATTTTTAAAAAAAGATGGTTAGCTTCTTAGATAATACAAAGTTTTCATTCTCTTATCTATGGTTTATTTAGTTTGTTAATGTCGTTAAATTAATCATTCATTTTGATATTGAAAAATTAAATACTCTTAAATGAAATCACAATGTAATTGGCACAAAGTATGATCATGACAATATTTATTTATTTTTAAAATTAAATTAAGGTATTTTAAAATAGCGACATTGACAAGTGCTTTCCATTAAAAATATAGGAGCCACTAAATTCTGATACATGACAGATAGGTTTTGACGTTTCAAAAACACCTACGCTCTGAAGTTGGCTCCGGGATAGAGCATAACCCATATACTCTTCTTTTATCTATGGCATAACCTGTCATTTCGTGGAATATTTAGTCCCGCGTTCTTTTCTCATTTTTGTTAGGGTATAGCGTCGCGTCGGTTTCGTTTCAAGTAAGCGTTTTATTATATTTTCTGCTTTTTCTTTTCGTGTAATTAGAATTCTTTCGTTCTGTTGCTATTTCTAATTCTATTCTTTTTTTTATTTGTTTATAACAGTTTTTTTCACATATTTCGGTTCGGTTTTTCGTTTTTTTTGCTCTGGATCGCTTTCCTTGCGTTGCTTTTTTTGCTCTAG